GCTTGGCTTCAGGTGTGTCTGACCATGTTTCTTCTGACTGTCCTGGTCCAGGGGATCTTCAGGCCCCCTCTGGCCCCCCCAGGTATCTCACCTCTTCACTGCCTCCTTGAAAAGTCAGCTGATATCATTCTTCATCACTTTACACATAACTGGCTTATTGAGGAGTCTCCACTTGTTCAATTTTATACGTATAATGGGGATTTTATTTTAACTATTTTTTCACATTTTTTCCCCCATGAAACCATCTGGAATCTCCTTTTCATACCAGGTAGTGACTCTCTGAACAATACCTAACCCGGATGCCAACATAACTTTTAGTTATGGTTGGTTATTAGAACAATCTTATTTTGTAATTTAAGATTTATTTCTAATAATGAATAAACTTGAGTCAGCTTCAGCCTCAAATTTGGTTCACAGCTTTCTTTTTCAATCTAGTAATGTCTGGCTTCTCTTTCTGGTGCTAGTGGCTTTGAAAGAGGATGTGTGCGTGCATGTGTGCCAGTGTGTGTATGTGCATGCTTGGTGACATTTAGTCCCTTAGGTATCTTGGAGTGGGATGAAGAGACCCTAGTGAGAACAAGCATCTTCCTTGCCTTGTTGAGGTATGGCCTCCTTCTGGGTTGTCTGAACTCATGAGCTCTTCTAGCTCATGAACTATGAGTTCCAAGAGGAAGAGTGGTAGCTGCAATGCGCTCTGTGACAGGCGCTCATTTCTATGAGATTTCTCTAGGTACCAGAGGTCCTTCTGACATTTGGCTGGTCCTTTTGGCCCATTCCCAAATGGTAGTATTCAGCCTACATCCCATTGATTGTGGGTCTTTCTGCCTCCTATATTGGATGGTTCTCACACTCATCTACTCTTTGCAACCAACCCCAGGGCCGCAGGCATCTGCTGTAACTCTTGGAACCTGAGAAGTCAGACAGATATTTCTTTTCCTTCCTCTTCTTTCTTCCTGGCATCTCACCACCACACTGGTTCTCTCCAGTTTTCTTTCTTCTTGCTTAGGTAACAAAGGGGCAGGTCAATAATTCTAATGCTAAAGCAGACATCAAATAAGTAAGTGAAATGCAAGTCCCCGGTTGTTGCAAATATTTCTGAATTATATTCCTAGGGTGGCCCTAACAAAACATCACAAGCCAGGTGTCTTAGAACCACAGAAATTAATTGTCTCACAGTTATAGAGGCCAGAAGTCCAAAATCATGGTGTTGGCAGCATGCTTCCTTCTGAATCATGAAAGGAGGATCTATTCCAAGTCCCTCCCCCCCCACTCCCCCAGCTTCTGGTGGCTCCTTGGCTTGTGGTAGCATCACTTCAGTCCTCACATGTTGCTCTCCCTGTGTGCTTATCTGTGTTCAAGTTTCCCCTTTGTAAAAGGACACCAGTTATATTGGATTAGGGCCTTCTCTACCCCACTGTGACCTCATCTTCACTAACTATTTCTGAATGACCCTGTTTCCAAGTAAGGTCACAGTCTAATGTATTGAGTACCTCAACATATGAATTTTGGAAGGACACAATTCAACCCATAACAACTTCCAGTTTTTACAAGTGATTCTTAGAGCCTACCTCTTCCCCTGTTTTGGGGGGAAGCCATGAACTCTGTGCCTTCAATATGTAGACCAACCCTACCTGCCTCTCCAATTCTCTTTAATGTTGACGGAGGCTGGTAGTTTGTGGTGGTAGAGCTGGTTCTGGTCCCTTGAAGCAAACAGTGCAGAGAGATGGTGACCCTCTGGATTTATTTTATATTTTATTTTATTTTATTTACTTTTTAAATAGTTTATTGTCAAGTTGGTTTCCATATAACACCCAGTGCTCATCCCCACAAGTGCCCTCCTCCATGCCCATCACCCCTCTTCCCCTCCCCCCTACCCCCATCAGCCCTCAGTTTGTTCTTGGCATTCAAGAGTCTCTCATGGTTTGCCTCCCTCCCTCTCCCCCACTATTTTTCCCCTTCTCCCCTATGGTCCTCCATTAAGTTCCTCCTAATCCTCCTATATGTGCAAACATACGGTATCTGTCCTTCTCTGCCTGACTTATTTCGCTCAGCATAACACCCTCAAGTTCCATCCATGTTGCTACACATGGCCAGATTTCATTCTTTCTCATTGCCATGTAGTATTCCACTTGTTTTCTTCATCCAATCGTCAGTTCATCAAACTCCACACCCGAAAAACAAACAACCCAGTGAAGAAATGGGCAGAAGATATGAACAGACACTTCTCCAAAGAGGACATCCAGATGGCCAACAGACACATGAAACGATGCTCAGCATCCCTCCTCATCAGGGAAATATAAATCAAAACCACCCTGAGATATCACCTCAGCCGGTCAGAGTGGCTAAAATGAGCAAATCAGAGGACTCTAGATGCTGGCGAGGATGTGGAGAAACGGGCCCCCCTCCTACACTGTTGGTGGGAATGTAAACTGGTGCAGCCCCTCTGGAAAACAGTGTGGAGGTTCCTCAGGAAACTAACAATAGAACTCCCCTACGACCCAGCAATAGCACTGCTAGGAATTTACCCAAGGGACACAGGAGTGCTGATGCATAGGGGCACGTGTACCCCAATGTTCATAGCAGCACTCTCAACAATAGCCAAAACATGGAAAGAGCCTAAGTGTCCATCAACCCTCTGGATTTAGACTATGGGATGCTCATGGGGCGCCTGGTTGGCTCAGTCAGTTAAGTGTCCAACTTTGGCTCAGGTCACGATCTCACAGTTTGTGGGTTCAAGCCCCGAGTCCAGCTCTGTGCTGACAGCTAGCTCAGAGCCTGGAGCCTGCTTCAGATTCGGTGTCTCCCTCTCTCTCTGACCCTCTCCTGCTCATGCTGTCTCTCTCTCTTTCTCAGAAATAAATAAAACATTAAAAAAAAAAAAAGACTATGGGATGCTCAGCTTTTGCCCATCACTTTGGGCCTCAGCTACAACTCTGAGACAGTAGACAAAGCCCTCTGTCCTGTCAATGAACATTTTGTCATCTTAACAAAATGGTGACTCTTATAAGGCAAAAATAGCACCTAGTGGGATATGGAGTGGGAGGCCTTATGTTTGCCATGCAGCTGTGCACAAGTCTTGTGAAAGAGATGTGTGAAAAATGATCACAGTAGAGCACGCACTGAGGCACCCTGAGGGGTCTGAAGAAATAGCACCTCCACAGCTGACATGGAAAATGCCCAGTTCTATCCCCAATTCTAGCTTTAAGGACACTGGGTTTCATCTGTCAGCATTTACGCAGACAAGCAACCGTTGTCCTTTCAGTGACGGACTAGAGGAAAAGGACCCAGGACATTAGGAAGCAAACAACCTTCCCACAGTGTAACTAGTGCTATAGAAAGGACTTTGGGATTGATCATGGCGGTGGCAAGAGCTCAGTGCCCAGAGTGAGGACGGAAAAGTATAGTCAGAGCCATGGGCTCCCTTGCCAGTGCTGCTTAAAGGGCGAACCCTGTGCAGCCCCATTCACCTGTCCTGTCCCCACAGTGGGGAGTGTGCTTTGAACAGGAAGTATGAGGACTGAGGGGTCAGACGACTTGGGTCCTGGGAGGAGTGGTCTTGACCCACAGAGCTCCCTCTATGCAAGGCCATTTGGGCACATACTGTCCTGAATTTTGTCCCTGAGCAGTAGTTTGGGCAATTAAGACACCCCAGAATCCCCCAAGTTCAGTGCTCACAGGTAGCACAAAGCTCTGAGTTATGGAAAATGCCTTTAAAAAATTTTTTTCTTTTACCTGAAAACTGGAGTATGGGGATGGGATCTCCTAAATTTTTCCTGCAACCGTTACCTGTCATTCACTTCAGCATCCTAACTTCTGTTCTTTGAAGTAAGAGAGATTCTTAGAAGCTCATGAGGACGTTCAGGTGCATTCACAGTGGCTTGTGCCTGGACAGGCTTGCTGCATAACAGCTCCTCAGCTGGTGTCCCTGGGCATCAGCAGTCCTACCACCAGGCACATCTCCTGATCACACATGTGCGAGAAGGCCCACACTTTCCGCGTGCCCTACGCAGGAAGTTTCAGAACTTGTCAGCAGCATCCCAGAATGTGTAGCTTCCCCACAAGGGAGAGTATGAGAAAGGAAATACATCACACAATTGTAGGAATTATTATTAACCTCATTTTGCAACTGGGGCTAAAGAAGTCGCTGTGGACCAAGTTGTGCACTTGCCCCCCAATTTTTTTTTTATGTCCAAGCCCTCACTGCCCCTGTGGCAGCATTTGGAGATGGGGTGTTTGGGAGGCTGATTAGCTCATGACTGCAGGGCCCAAGTCCACTGGGATCAATGCCCCTGTTGGAAGAGGCACTGGGAGCTTGAGTTCTCTGTGTGCACACCCCTAAGAAAGGCCCCGTGGGCACGCTGCAGACCAGGAAGGGGCTCTCCCTGGAACCTGACTGGACAGGCACCCGGATCTCAGAATTCCAGACTCCAGAACTGGGAGAAAATAAATTTCTGTTGTTTATAAGCCATGCAGTTCATGGTATTTTGTTATGGCAGCCTAAACTGACTAAAACAGAACTTAACTAAGTCCATGCATTTACCTTACATGGTGGGTTTTTTTTTTTTTTTTTGATGTGTGTGTTCGTTTCACTTGCCTTTTGAAATATTTATGGAGAATTTACTGTGTGAAAGGCCTTATGTTCTCTCTGCATTTTCCTCTTTGTCTCTGTAGTTCTTGTCCTTTTTACTTTCCTACCCAAACTGTTCAAACAGCTCTTCTGTTATAAATTCAGTTCCCTTGGAAACCCCTTAACAGCACATATAAAAGGCGTTGTATTATTACGAGCATCTAGTGTTTATTGCACGGCCCCCGGTGAGGTGGTGCAAGAGGAGGAAGGCATGCCTCTTGTTTCTAATGCAGCTTATATGCTTCAAAAGGGGATGAGGGCTTTGGAGCGTATGAATAAATTCCATCCCCCAGCCCCCTCAGGGCAGTGTTAAAATGATCATGTCCCTAATATTAGTTCACCTTTATTGAATATCTTTACTGGGCCCAGGCAGTACTTTCCATGTATTTATTTTGATTTTCATGAAGATTCGTGGGGGCAGATGGGGCTATCTGCAATGTGGTAGCAATCGCACCATCACCCTTGGGTTACTTTGTGCACCCAGGGAGCCTCTGTTGTTATTTTCCAAATCCTGCAGAGATCCACAGCCTTGAGATGGTCAGTTGGTTTGATAGGATTGATGATTTGTTCCAGTTTCACTGGAGCGAGCGAAAACTTAAAAGGAGCTGGTCAGTTTGGAAGGATTGAGGAATTTAAAAAGTTCTGAAACCAGAAGCCCCTGGATGATGCTCTCTGAGAAACAAGAGCCAATGACCAGTTTCTACCCATTTTTCAAACTGAGATGAAGACAAACCTTCCACTGGCTTTTAATTTGATGGTGGCGTGGCCTCCTGTACCAGTCAAGGCTTCCCCTGCTTGTGACCTGGCAGGGCTTCTGATCTGAGGGGTAATTCTGAGAGGCGCTGGGGGATTTGGTCACACACCTAGAGATACAGCATCGGCTCCTTTCATGAGACATAGTTCTGGCTTTGCCCTGGTCACCTAATGTTTCCTGTCAACTCAGGGTATGTGAGAGAGAGCGGGCCAGGTCCTGTGCCACCATATGCATATCTACCTCTGGGGACACCCTTTTAGTCTGGAGCAAAATTGCCTTTCTCAGGTGGTGAAAAAGATATGTGATTACAAAAGAGATGATATTGAGGCTGTTTTTCCCAGCAGAAATTCTCTCCCAAGCCTTTTCAGCATCTGTCTGCCCCACCAAGCCTCGTGCGTGACCCCAGGGCCTGCTTGTTTTGCCTTGTTCGGGCCTCTCCAGGTCTCCAGGAACCACTCAGGATCCACACTCTCTGTCAGCTCTGGAGCAGGGCCAATCTCATGCCTTCCTTTCTGCTGTCTTCATTAATACTGGGCATGCGTCCCGGCATTCCTGAGAAATTGATAGAGACAGAACATCAGTTGTAGTTTAGCTCTACAACCGGGAAACTCACGGTGACAGGCTGGGGGAATTTTGTTGCCAGAGAAGTCAATGGGCCCTTTCCTGGAGCAGCCCAGTGTTGAGACGCTCTGGGCCTTCATGAGGTCATAGAGTGGGACACAGGACAAGAGCAACAAGCCGCTAATCTGCTAATTGCAGCCTGGCTAAGTGATATTACCTTTGTGCTTGGCTTTCTTGGACTTGATGAATGGCTATGTATGTGGAAGAGAACAAACCAAGGCATCTTCTCTCAGGCTTGGAGAAAGTGTGATTTAGAACTCGCAAGACCCGGACGGGGGTCAGGCTGGCAGATGTAGTCTGACCCGGAACTCCCCTCTGAGGAAAGCCACAGGATTGGGACCAGAGAGGGTACCATAGGCAGTGTTGGAACTGCGCTGGCCCACTCGGTGGCCTCCAGATTCCCCCAATGGTTTCCTACAGTGTTTGAGAAAAATACGTAGCTACTTTTTCCTGTTTAGGTCTCTGTGGGTCCATTTCTGTCAGGTGATTTTCGGGGTGAGCAGGACTCACCAGAGGGGACAGGCCCAGGATGGGAACACATGTGTCTTCACACAAGGGGCAGGGGACAGAGATGGGTGCCTCTTGCCCAGAGTTATCTGTTCCTCCTCTTGTGTTCTCCACCTCTGCACATGATACCACCTGCCACCCAGTTGTTCATTCAGAGATCTTGAGGTTGTCTGTGACCCTTTCCCTCTTCCCCATGTACAGGTCATGAGATGGCAGTTCTTTCTCTTTCATGTGTCTTGACATTGTGCCCATCTTTTCTTTCCCACTGGAACTTCCCTCATCCAGGCCACGGCGCTCTTTCCTGTACCACCGCAGTAGTCATCCGCCAGTCCCACCTCTCGTCTTGCTTCCTAATTATCTTCAGCCAGAGTCATCTTTCTCAGGTGCAGATCTGACTGTGTCAGTTCCCTGCCTGAAGTCTTCAGTGGTTTCCCCCTTGCCTTGTGGATCAACGTCAGTCTTTGCCTGACTGGTAAGGTGTGGGCTGGCCCAGCGTCTTCTCCAGCTTTCTCTCTCGTCATGCTCCACCTAGCCCGTATTGTCCCTTCTAGCCACTGTGAACCTCCTGTGGTCACTGAATGTGCCAAACTCTTTCTTCTTCTAGGCCTTTGTACAAACTTCTCTGCCTCAGCCCCCTTTCTTTCTTCTCTTAACCAAAAAGCTGAGAGCTCCTTTTCTGGTTTCAGCTGAGATGTCACTTCCTTTGGGATGTCTTGTCTGATTTCTTCAAACAAGGCCTGTCTTTCTCTTTGCTCCTATAACAGCCAATATATTCTCATACTGTGGTACTGATCACAGTACATAAGAAATGCCTATTTATGCATGGATGGTATAGAATTTCTCTTGAGGAAAGAATTGGATTTGTTTAGGGAAATGTCTGGACAGGCTTCTTGGTTTAGAAGGTGGGACTTTGGGCCCTGGTTTAGCAAGAGACAAGGAAACGAAAGAGATTACCAAATGGTTATATGTAAGAACTAGATGAAAATACATGTGTCAGTGAGAACAGATTGGGGGAAATCAGGTGGGGAGAGGATGGCTGATCTGCATGGTGAACTGGCCAAAGAATTTTCAAGACTAGAATAACTCACATTCAATCAAAGTTGTAGGTACTTTTGAGATGTAAACATTCTTTACTCTCCCCCTGCCCTAAACCTCCTGCAAAATTTAGCCTACACACTACGGACTTGTGTGGGTGTGTGGTGTAAATCCTAAATGGGATGTGGGTTCATGTCTGGGTCTCTTCCATTGTGGAAATAAACAGCCATCACTGAAGAAAGAATAAAAATTCAGAGGAGAAAAGATGTCACAGATAGATGAAGTAACATAAGGATATTAGCTTTCCTAACCTGTACAGGAATGTACAGGGATCAGGGATTTGGGCCAACTTTACTTAGATTTATAAGGGAGGAGACCCTAGCCAATACCGAGGTTCCAATTGGGTACAGATCCAATTCTGTATCTATTTCCTCCCTGGGATAAATCTCTGAAGGAGACAAGTGTCCATGATTCCGTTTTCACTTTGAACCCCAAAAATGGTTGTCGAGTGAGTAAAGGAAGGAAAAATGATAAAAAGTAAGATTTAGTGGGTCTAACTTGCAAGAGCTATGTAAGCCATTTAGAAATATCCTGAACAAAACCGAGGTCTCCAATCAAAGGGTCCATGTGGGAGGCTGGAGCGGTCAAGGAGCCTCACGGGCCCCCTGCTGGCCCAGTCTTTCTGTCTATAGGAGCTGTGGTGTGACAGTAGTCCCCGCACATCCCGTCTGAGACTGCAGCTGCGTCTAACGGGCACGGGCACGCCGGCACAGGGAGGGGGGCCCAGGGACCAGGCAGGAGGGCCTGGTGGAAGGAGCAGGCTTGGTGGGTATATCTATGTGAGGCATGTTCCTGGGCTTCTAGGTCAGGACCAGGTGGCTGGAAACCTGCATCGACTCATTGCTGCTTGGTCCCTGCTCTTGAGGTACTCACTGTCCCTCTGGGAAGCAGGACACGGGGGGTGTGACAGGAGGAGCCACACAGGATGGGGTGTCATGATGAGCAGGGTTTCTGGAGCTTGGACAAGGGGTGCTTCTTTCTGATCCCTGTGAGTGCTGTCAGATCTGCTTGTTTCTGGTGCCTGCTAGAACCAGATGCTGGAGCCCGCGATCTGGCAACGACCCGCCTTTGAGGCTTCCACTTTCCCTGATGAGCTACTTTTGTTTTTACACCTGTTGTCTTTGTTTTGTTTTCCTTAGTTATTTATATCTCACCCGTTTTTATGCCATTTTTTAAAATATAGGGTTGTCTCCCCAAATACTAGATTTTTGTGATTACTTAGATATTAGAGATACAGATAAATCTGCTTTGCCTTTCCGCATGTGAAATTAATGTTTTTTTCTTCACCTTCTTCCCAAATGCCTTGTGGTGGTCTTTATTAATTACCCTTTATCATACTATGGGGGTTATTTCCCTCTCCCCCTTTTAAAAACGGGTCTGTGAGTGGAATAACCTGAATGAACTGGAATGTTTCTGCCAAGTGTAATTGCCCTGAGGACAACTTCATAGTTGATAGACTTTAATCAGATCCCTCTTCTCTGTTTCCTGGAAATCTTCCTTCAAAACTTCTCTTAACCCTGATCCCGGGGGGTTTTATCCCCTCATAAAACCAGTGGGGGAGTAGTTCTTTGGAACAGGGGACAGAGAACAGCTATAGTGAAGAGTGTTTTTCTTTCCCTCTCCAAGAAAGTTCACAGGAAAACCTCTGCTAAGAATAAGCTTTTTGGAAGGATACTCAGCAAGCTTTTGCCTGGGCGCTTCAGTGAGGGCTGCACCCTCGGGGTGGCTGGGCTGTCAGCTGTCAGCAGCCCTGGGGGCCCAGTGCGATTCCTTCCCCCATCAAGCGATGCCAGCCTTCTCTTTTAGAAATATATTTGGCATTGGAGAAGACTTTCTGCATCTTACCTTTGCCCCTCCCCCCCTTTCTCCTTTTAGCCTTTTTCTCCTGTTCAGCAGGGTAGTGTTAGCATCACTCCAGCAAATCTGACCTGTTTCTAGATTCTTCCACACTTCATATGGTCCCTAGCTACCTTGTCCTCCCTCATGCTGTTCCATTGGCCTGGAATCTCCTTTTTCTCCTTTTTCCCCTGAGTAACTGTCCCTCTTCCTTTAACTCTCAGCTCAGGGGTCAGCTTTTTGGGAAGTCTTCCTTGGCCCCCAGGTTGAGTTAGATGCCGCATTTGAGCTCCCATCGTGCCCTCTATGTGCCTCTGTCGTGGCTCTGACTGCATTCTCCTGAAACGGAATTGCCAGTGGCTTGTCTTCTTTATGACATCATGTACCATGACGTATAGGGGTGGTATCTGATTCATTGCTAGATCCTAACACTCAGTGCAATACCCAGCAGAGTGGGTACTCAGTAAATATACTTGGTATATGAGAGAGATCAAGAGAGATCGAGAGATCGAGAGATCGAGAGAGAGAGAGAGACTGATTTGGAGATAGCTGTAGGGAATGGGCCACAATCTCAGTATTATACCCCAATTCACTTCTGGCAGAACCTAATCATGTCAGGTGGAGGTACTGACCCAGAGCTCAGCTGGCCCAAGCCCCTCAGACCAAGCCTTGGGTGTAGAGTCTCCATGTCTCCATGTGCCTGTGTCTATCTGCCCCTGGTAGGGAAGCTCTGATCCCCATGACCTACTCCTCCCCCATATGCAGACCCTGCTTGAGCTTGGCTAATATATCTACTTTCCCCCAAACATGTGCTCTATTTTCTGTCTACCCCCCACCTTTGCTCATGCCATCCTTCTTGCCTGGAATACCTATTTCCACTCTTGTCCTCGGTGTGGTCTCTTTATCTGCCATTTTCTAAGATCTGATTCCAGGCCCTTTTTCTAAGAATCCTGAATTTCCACAGTGCCCCTGCCCGTAAGTCTCTTCTTCCTCTAAATTCTGATGGTCTTGACTCTGTACTTTAGCATTCACAATTTGTCATTGACCAATGTCCTTTTCGGGATCCTGTCTCCCCAGGACAGTGGTAAGTGAGTAGCTAGCCTAAGACCCACCTGTATTTCCCTGACTCCTCAGGTCCCTGGTCAGTGTTTGGAGAAGTTTAGAATCATTCTCTTCTCGGACTGGTGGCCATGGGAGGCTGCCCAGGAGAAGTGAGGTCCAGAGCTACATAGAGGACAGGGCTGAGGGTTCCCAGTGGTGGAGTAGGTGGGTGCTGGAATGGGGTGATTTCAGGAACCTTCCATCCAATACCGTCTATTCCACCTGGAATGCCACTGTTAGTGAACCTGTTCCTTCACAGAACACCTTTCAGACAAAAGAGGGGGCAGCCCAGAATAACAGTTCCTGCCCTTGCTTTGGGGCTTGTCCATGGTGAGAAGCTCTACTATGCCAGTGGGTAACAGGACAGGAGATGTAAAGCATGAAGGCGTGGA